TACTCTCACTATTCCTCTTATTAATCAATCTCTGTTTTTTTTTTTTACATATTTATTTTTGAAAATAGGAAAACCCAGTAGAGATTTCTTGAATCTAGGGTGTAGTCGAGTGAAGCTTTTGCACCGATTTTCTGGTCAATGGATTTGTTGTGAAAAAAAAAAAAAAAAGAGGATAAATGAAGAGTAGTAGCTCTTGACAGCAGAAAGAGCTCGCATTTTCTACGCAATTGTCATTCGTCGTTCTCTCCAACTCCCCCGCAGTACATCTTTATACTCTGTTACATGTATCTGTTCGTATTTATGAGGTTTTGATTGATTTCTCTACTTTGATTAACTGTAATCACAGATCATTACACCAATCTCTATGGTTTGCGCCCTGGATGGATTCCTTGTCGACTTAAAGTATGTAAATTTTGTAGTTATTAATTACTAATCAGGCTAATTGCTGTAGCTCATCATTTTTGCTTCAACTAGTCTATTTGTTTAAATGAGCTTTCTTACATGATTTGTTTTGGAATAAATTTAACGAAGGTTTCACTCTAGAAAAAAAGCTTATATGGCATCAAATGCATCCTTCTTCAACTAGTAGCCAAAATTGTTTTCCAGGAATTAAAGCATACCAATTTCAATTGGACATTATTTCAAGTTATTAATAATTAGTATAGTATATGTAATTTTGGTAAGTTTCTCTAGGATGTGGTCAAGGAACAAAGGGTCACGTTGAAAGTAGTTTTTGAATTGTGAAGATTGAATGCTGATAATCAAATCTTGTTAAATGGAAGAGATTCAACTAATGTTGCTTGTTAGAGGATATATGGGTGGATCCGAATGTTAGAGTCAATAGAATTGTTGTGAAAAAAAAAAAGAAAAAAAAAAAAGAGGATAAATGCTTGGTGATTTTTACTAAAGTCGGAATGAAAGAAAAGAAATGAGGAGCTTAAATAACGCAATCGAAATGCAATTCAACATGTTTTATGTGGTAAAATGAAGACGAATAGAACTTCAAGATAAAATATTCAACCCCCGGTGAAACTTCAGATACTGCTTTATTCAATGCTATATGGGTTGATAGATGGTCACTAGAGTTTGGGGAACCTGGTAGCATATGTTGAGCAGGTGACTTGGATGGGAGATTGTGGGAAGCTTTTGACACTGTAATGAATTATGTTGCTGTATGATTGTGGAAAATTCATGGATGTGACGGCTTGTGTAGAAAACAACTATCAGCATACATTTGTTCACATATAAAGCATAATGAAATAAAATGAAGTAGTAGTGTGTCAATTTTGAGATGATTTTTCAGTGAAGATTCATCTTTGCTATCATTATCCCTTTTGAATTGGTTGGGCCTCCACTAGGTTGCATTCGTTGCTCTGATTAATGGTTGGAAAATAATATGCATCAAAGATGGTTGAGATATTTCATCTACACTATATGATCAAAATAATCACATTTCTGGTTGGTTTTGTTCTTTAGATTATAGTTTCAAACCTCCTAATTGTGATTCATGTATATGGAATTAATTCGTTAAATATTGACTATATCGTTTCGTATCCTGATCATTTTTCCAGAGATGGCTGCTGTGCAAGCTAATTTGACATCAGTTTTTGGGAATAATACCTTTAAGTTTCATGACAGTTCATTTTTGCCTGGGATTGATGTGACTGTGCATATTGCCGGCGTACGGAGAAGGGGCATATGGTCCACTTCTTTTTCAGGCCCCAAAGCTACATTAACCTCTGGAAGTGCATCTTGATCATTGACATCTGATATTTTATTCTGTCTGGCATTAGTTTTCGGATACTCCTCCACTGCATTTTAAATTTATTGAAAACTATTGCATTCTTTAACTTTCTTATATTTATTAGGACTGTTGTTAAACAGGACTCCCCAAGTTGCGGAAGGAGTTGATTGACAGGAGGGAGAAGTTGGGTGGTCCGAGGTATACGTAGATGTTCTATGCTAAGCAGGTAACTATAACTGAAGAAATGTCATACTGTGCCACTCGGGAGAAACTTGACCCAGAATTTATGAGATCAGAAGCTGCTCGTGGTCGTGCAATTTTTCCGTCTAACAAGAAGCATACATAGTTGGAGCCAATGATAGTTGGACGCAACTTCTTGCTGAAAGTGAATTCTAATATTGGGAATTCTGTCGTCGTGAGCTCCATTGAGGAAGAAGTTCACAAGCTTCAATGGGCAACAATGTGGGGTGCTGATACCATTATGGATCTCTCAGAACGCCAAGATGGTTGGAATGAAGGTTTCGGCAGCAAGGAATAGCCCAAACACCGACGTAATTCACGTGGAAAAATCTTTAGGAGTCACACTTGTGAACTCTAAAATTGGCACCTGAGATGATCGCCCAGTTAACGAAATTTTGTAAAATTTTGCAGCATTGGGAGTCTTGGCTGGGATTTGAAAGAACCTGTAGTGCAAAATGTAACAATTAAAACAGTCAACATTATAGATGATTTAAGATTAGAGATTTATAAAATTTGGATCCACATCTATCCATGTATTCTAGTGTAACCGTGCTTTACCTTTTTGTTAATTTACTTTGTAAGAGATTGAAACTTAAACTTTGGTTTGAAAAGATATGTTGCAATAAACCGATGTTGATACATCATTGCATTTTCTAAAGTCCGTGAGCTTGTGTTGCCTTTTTACTTGTAAATAGTTTATCTATAATCATTGAGTAATGTTATTTATTACACGTTGATGATAGTCACGTGTTTAGACGATTAAAATTGTATTTGGCAAGAATTGTGAGAACTAACATGAACTCGATAAGATTGATTTCAAAATATTTATTACCATGTCAACATGAGATTAGTACTCCCCTTTTTTGCAACTTGATTATGTTTGGTTGTGACTTGATACTAGTTAATTCTTGTCACAAGTTACATACTATATTATAAACAAGGACTTGCGAAATTTCATTTAAGTTGTGTTTTTTATATATAGAAAAAAATATTTTAAGATTCACCAAATTCAAAATTTATATGTTATTTAATATTGTATTAACATCAAACTATTAAAATTTATTGAATAATCATATTTCTTGAATAAAATATTATTAAAAAAATATTTTCAAAATCTCAAAGTAAACGCGTTTTCTATTTTTATGTTTTGAGAAACANGATTTTCATTTTCTAATTTTTGAAAATCATTTTTCAAAATACCAAAAAGAACACGTTTTCAAAAATCTCAAAATGAACACTCAAAACACAAAACTCAAAATAAATTTAAAACACAAAACACAAAACTGAAACATAAAGAGAACGGCCCCTAATCCACTCTCTTTACACCATTCTACGAGCATTCAAAATGATGTGATTCAATTTGAATCCTACAAGAGTGAGACTGAATCTAATATCAATTGAATTCTACTTATGAAGTCAAATGCATAGTTATTCAATTTTGACCAACCGTCCGACTGCAAAACCGATCAGGACTTTATTAAAACATTTCAAATATTTATTTGTCTTGAAAAATTATCAAATAAAATTTTAATGAAAATTTTAAAAAAACGACGACTAATAATACAGATACAACTATATTTAAGATTATATAAATCATATATTTAGCCCCTAGCTGTTTGAGCCTCATTTTTCTCAAAACTCATTTTTTTTAAAATTCATTTTCAACCATACATTCTCCAATAAAATAATTTTACTTGTAAATTCAAATTTTTGGCTATATTTTAACCACACATTATCTAAAAAAATCATTATTTCAAAACAAATTTGCCCCAAAAAAGGGCTCAAACAAAGGCTTAATTGGGGAGCGTTCCGCTAACCAGGGGCGGAGCTAGGATATTCTTTTAGTGCGGGCATATTTTTATGGACGCCGAACGTCTTTGAGTTTTTGGTTATGTATTGAATGATGATAAAAATATAAAATAATAGTACGACAATACTAAAAATTCACAGTTCAATATTCACATTTCACACGGCAATTCACAAAGTGGTTAAAGCAAACATCACATGCAAGCAATTCATGGCAATACTCTAATTCACATTTCACAAAGTAAATTTCGAGAAGCACTTCAAATTGAGAAAGAAACTGCATTTACTAATGTCTTTTATGCAAAATTATTTGTGCAGCCCACGGTCTTTTTATTTCAAGTCAAGCTCTTCAATCTATAAAGCATATGACTTGATCCCCAAAATTGCAGCTTTTAATCTATTTGGTCTTTTTTCCTTTTCAATTGATTAGAAACGGGTCTAACTAACACAGTAACACTAGCAAATTTCTTTCAAATTTCAGGTTTATAATTATAGCCAATAGATTATAGATACACTAACCTTCAAAATTCAAATGTTTGGACTTCGGGAATCAAGGTGGCTGTTGCCTACTAGTAGTGGTTGGCTTCAGGTTCACAGTGGCTGCTCAGGTTCAGGACTTTGCTCGCTCGAACTCGAAGGCGGAACGGCTGGCTTCACGGTGGCTTCTCACTCGTCAATCGTCACTACAGGTCGCTGGAGGAGGAGTGAACTGCAGCCAAAGGGGGGAGGTTCGCGACTTCGCGTCATGGTGGTGGAATGAGTTTTGTTTGCTGTCGCCTCTCTGCCCTCTGTCGATTTGGGAGAATTTGGTGTGGGTTTTGGGCCTTTTTCCTATGGGTATTTGTTTACGGGTTTGGTATTTAAAAAATAAAAATAAAAAATTGGGCCTTTGTATTGGGCGGCCCAGATTTCAGTGCGGGCATTTGCCTGCACTGGGCCTAACAGGGCTCCGCCCCTACCGCCAACCAATACATTTGACAAAAGATTTATGAGAAATAATATGTTTTCCTGAATCTTAGAAAATCTAACGGTCTTCATCCATATATTAAAATCCTTCAAAATTTTTATTTCGTTATCTAAACATACCCTACTTACTTTTTAAAATTCACCAATTACAACCCTTTTTCCAAAAAAAATAAAAATTAAATCAAATTAAATTAAATCACCAGATTTTCTAAACATATCTTTTCTTATCGGCTTCACCATTCTTCTTTTCTCTTCTCCTTCACCAGCATCTTCTTTTCAACCATCTGCTATTGGCATCTCAAGAAAGATTTATACAGAAACCATAATTTTATTCAAGAACTGGGTTTGTGATATTGGCATCAATGGAGAATTAAGGTTGAAAAATTGGTTTATTCAATTTGATGATTCATGCTACTTGCCTCAAGTTCAATTTCTCCTCATAAATTCAATTCCTGAAATCTTCTCCAAATTTCACCGCTCACTATATATATCCCGACTTTTCATTTCTTTTTCTCAAAAATTCTGCTATTCTTATTCTATGTAACCAGGTACTTTAAAATAGCATACCTATTTGCAGCATTGCGTGAAGATGATAGCTTTGTTGTTGATGATTGGGGCTAATTCTACAGTTCTTTCTGCAGGGTTTTTGCTCAGGTTGTGTAACAAAAATCAAGTGATTGGAGCTACAAGCATTAATAGATTGCTCAGCATGTTTAACAAATGTTGGTCTTTCACTGCCTTCGTACGAAATTATACTATGTTCATATGGAATTATACTGTGAAATACTGTATTCATATGGTTGTTGCTACAACTAAACCAATGAGGTTTATTATCCAACCCAACAATTAAAAAAGGCTAAAATAAAATATAAAAAGTAAATATTTCTCTCTTCATTTACCTAGACAAATTAAGCAGAAAAAAATATGTTAGAGAGTTGAAAGAATATCAATTGTTTTAATATATAAGTTACAAATTTGCTCAGATACTTCGTCAATGGCTTTGATAAATAATTGGCATCCTTCATTTGTTTCGACAGCATGACAAGCTAATTGAGTTGCTTTCCGACACATATGACAAAGTCTTAATGCCTTTGCATGTTGCTCACCGTCAACAATACGATACTTGTGTTCTGATTCAAAGTCCTCATCATTCTCCCTTATCAATTGTTGATGCATGCTTTAGAAGTAAAGCATCATCATTCACAATACGATACTTGTGTTCTGATTCAAAGTCCTCATCATTCTCCCTTTTCACAATTGAAGCTAAAGCTTAATCATATTTGAGAACAAAATCATGAAGGTTAGTTCGAGAAGTAACAAAACTATTAAAAAATGGGTTAACACCTTCACTACGGCTGGTAGTATTCGTGCCCGCAAAAAATAATCCACGATTATACACTGGAACCCAACTTTCACGTATTACGTTTAAGTCTTGAAGCCATTTGTTACTTTGCAAATCATACTCCACTATTATATCCTTCCATTTTTTCTCAAAGTCTTCCACTTTATATGTATAACGAATGCAATCTTTCATATCTTCCGTGAAATTTGACTTCTTGTAATATATATATGTGACAATTTTTCACCAAACTTTTTCATGATGTGACAAAGACATAAACGATGATGTGTGTAAGGAAGAACCTTAGCAATAGCCGCCTTCATAGCTGGATCTTGGTCAGTTATAATACAAATAGGATTACATCCTCCCATAGCATCAAGCCATGTTTGAAATAACCACATAAATGTTATCTCTGTTTCATCTTGTAATAATGCACAACCAAATTGTATGGATTGAGAATGATGGTTCACCCCAGTAAATGGAGTGAATGGCATATCTTATTTGTTTGTCATATAGGTTGTGTCAAACATTGATATGACATACGAGACCTTGCGTCAACCCAAAAGAAATTAGTTGCTCTTCCATCTTCATCACATTGTATTGCATAATAAAATTGGGGATTCTCAGCTTGTTTCTTTTGAAAATGTGTGAGGACGGATTGTGCATCACCAACTTCTAACTCCTTAAGTCTTATACGCCTCAAGTGGTTATAACAATCTCTGCCATCAAAACCAATGTTATCACCACCAAGAATTGAGGAAACTTTGACAACTTTTATATTTTCATTTTTGAATGCTTCAGAAGGATCTTTTGCTGATTCAGGCATACTCCTATTTGATCTCACTTTCATCCTTTTAACTGACGAAACAAATTTATGATTGTGATCATCTTCAATTGCTTTCACAATCCAATGGCCACCTTCAATGTCATGTGCGATTCGCATGTTAGCTTTACACCCACCTCTAATTGTTGAGCAATTTCTTGTTGCAGACTCATCATTTTCACAATTCTCTATATCTCTTGATTCTCCGACAATCTTTCTACTATATTTGCCTTCATGTGAACACACGTATTTAATAAAAGTGACTTCATTTATACGTGGACGTGACTTCACAGTTGTTCGAGTTCAAATCCAAAAACCATTTTGACGTCCAAAATCCTCATAATAAGCTCTTGCTTCATCTGATGTCTTAAATTTCATCCCGACATAAGGTTCTTGGCCTTGTATTGATGATGACCCAATCTCATTAGGTTGAAACATAGGTGTACAAGTGTCACAACTAGTTGTATCCATCCACAACCCCACTTTTCAAGTAGGGACAAAACAAAAAATTATACACGTCGAACTAATAACAACTTATTTGATAGAGGAAGAAAATTAATCTATCTTAGCAAGTTAATACAGATCAAAAAATCACTTTAACTTCACATGTTATCTCTTGCATAATGCAATGTTCATAAATGTAGAAGCTCTTGTCCTTTACAAGTTATATCTATCTAAAGAATAAGTTGCATACATGAATCAAACATTCCACAACAATATATGGTCAAAAAAGTATTTTTATTGAACTTGCAGACTTATATTGCCAAACCCAACAACGTTCTTGTTATCTGCACAAAATTTCAGCCGGTCGGATATTCTGCAATAAAAAAAAAAACTAAATTCCGGAAATAAAAAATTAATTTTGATACAAAAATCTTATACCTAAATTGGGTAGATGAAATTGCAACAGTTCAATTGATGAAAACACAAATGACAATACAAACGGAATTGTGATTTAAAAAATTGTGGGATGTAAGTAGATTGCCATTTCAAGAACCTGTTTGTATGTTCTTCTTGATGAGGACAATCGTTGGTGGGAGAAAATGAATTATGGAAGAATTTGTATTGACAAGAATCTTTCTGTATAAATCTTTCTTGAGATGCCAATAGCAGATGGTTGAAAAGAAGATGCTCGTGAAGGAGAAGAGTAAAGAAGAATGGTGAAGCCGATAAGAAAAGATCTAATTAGAAAATCTGGAAATTTAATTTAATTTAATTATCTTTTTTTTGAAAAAAGGCTGTAATTGGTGAATTTTAAAAAGTAAGTAGGGTATGTTTAGATAAGGAAATATAGATTTTGAAGGATTTTAATATATAGATGAAGACCGTTAGATTTTCTAAGAATCAAGAGCACAGATTATTTGTCATAAATCTTTGTCAAATGTATTGGTTGGCGAGTTAATTGTTTGAACAGTTACTGAACTTTACAAAGTGTCACGTTTCACTAACTAAACTTTAAGTTGCATCACATCACTCACTGAACTTAGTAAAGTTGCACTCCATCCATCACCGGACTAATTTCGTCAAAATCGGTTGTCTACGTGGATGACGGTTTGCACACCTGGCCATTAAATTAATCCAGGTGGCCGAGTTAATTGCTTCAATGGTCACTGAACTTTACAAAGTGTCACGTTTCACTAACTAAACTTTAAGTTGCATCTCATCACTCACTGAACATAGTAAAGTTGCACTACATCCATCACTGGATTAATTCCGTCAAAATTGATTGCCTATATGCGGGGCGGACGCAGATCTTAAAAATTAGAGTGTCACAATCGAACTTGCAAAGAACTCGGAATAAATTTTACAATTGAAAATTTACGTCCAAAAAATTCATACCCCATGTAATTTTACATCCAAAAATTTACATCGATATCACTTTTTCAGATGTAAAATTTCGAAATTTTTTTTTATCATATTTCATATAAAATTTCCTGTAAAATGATGAAAATTATATTAAGAAATTTGTATCACAAAAATAATAAATGTTAATGAAATAATTGAATTTTTTAAAGAAAATGCGAGTTAGACGTCTTTCTTTAAGACTCACGTTTAATGCATTTTTAACTATTTTCGATATCTATGTGGACTATTCGAATTTAAAAAAAATGTGAGTTAGACGTCTTTTTTTAAGACTCGTGTTTAACATATTTTTAACTATTTTCGATATCTGTTTAGACTATTCGATAAGCCTATAATGTAGTTCTCGAAATAACTTTTTAGATGATATAAGCAATTTGTAGATTCGATTGGCATACGATCGTCGAATAATTTTTAAAACTAGCATATTATCGAAATTCAAATTTATTGTGATTTTGCCTATGTTTGGTGGATATTAAAATCATTTTTTGAGTAAATTTTGATAAAAGTTAAGCAGTTATGAATTTTATGAAGTATGTTTTTAAAATTAATTTTTAACTTTGATTTAAATTAAAATCATCCTAGGTTTGCACATGTGGCCATTAAAATATTCAAACTGGCTATTAATCAGCCATGCCATAAATTCTCAACACTCAAACACATCTCACCCAATTTGATCTCATGTCTAAAGACGGCCAAGGCACGGCTAGTGCATATGTGATTGTAGATTTCGATGGCCATCGGAGACGTACCAAGACCATTTTTTATTGGG